GTTAACATGCTGCTCTTCCTTTTTCCCCCTGCAAAAGCAAAATATGTGCATGCAGTCTTCAAAACAAGTTGAAAGTGGCTGAGTCAGCTGCAAAAGAGCTGTTACTTTTGAGTTACTCAAACTCTAGCAGGTGAATTTTTGTTTTGATTTTGTTTTTTCCTAGTGTACCTGGTTGCATTGATATTGTTGACCATTAAGCATGAAAAAGGGGGGAGGGTGGCTTCCTCATTCCTTCTGACAGAGATTATATGGCTTTCACATTGAAATTAGATCCACAGACTGATTTGGAACATGCTCAGTCTTTGGGGAAATGTGGATCTGGATCCTGATCTGAATTTAGTGGTTTCAAACTCTGTATTGGGATCAGTCACAGTTTTTGACCCAGACATTCTGAATTTAGATTTGGTTCCAAGCTTCACCTAGATCTGGACTTGGAATTTTAAGTGCATCTCTACATGTGGTAAGGTGACTATATTTTCAGTATAAAAAATGAGGACACTTTCAGACAAAGTTTTATTTAACTTTTTTAGAATTGTAAAATTTCTTAAAAAGTACACTTTAATAAAACATTTTAAAAGCTGATTTAAATGTGCCTGTTTCTAGAAATTGAGGGATTTTCCCCTAATAATGCAATGCTCTAGTTTATCATGGAATAACAAACAGGTGATAACTCATCTTGAACAAAATAAAAACTTTGATAATACTTAACTCTTTAGACTTCTCTCTACTCCAAAGATTGTTCATTACACTGAATATTCATTGCACTCAACTAGTTTATTTGTATTGTATTTAAGCAACCTAGAAGTTAAAAATCAAATATACTTCTGAGTAGCATATATACAGCTCCCTTTGTATTTCAATGTTTAATTATACCAAAGACTTACAAGTACCATTGCCAGGTTTTATTGGCTTCAAGATTTGTAGCTCACATTTTCTACTTTTATATTGTGGCCAGATCCTGCCTGCTTGCATTACTAATGCAAAAGATGCAATTTACTTCATTGATGTAGTCCTATAAGAGGAGGATGCAGGATTTGGCTTTTTATGGGCAAGACTGTAAACACTGGTGAGCAGTTACTAAGGGTACGTCTAGACTACAGGGTTTTGTCGACAGAAGTTTTGTCGACAGTATCTGTCGACAAAACTTCTGTCGACATAGAGCGTCTAGACACATTCAGTTCTGTCGACAAAGCAAGCTGCTTTGTCAACAAAACCCTGTAGTCTAGACGCAACCCTACAGGCAATAACACCTTCTGTCGACAGAACTCTGTTGACAGAAGGTGTTATGCCTCGTAAAATGAGGTTTACCAGCGTCGACAAAACTGCTGAGTTCAGTGGTAGTGTAGATGCAGGTATAGTTTTGTCGACAAAAGTCCACTTTTGTCAACAAAACTCAGTAGTCTAGACACACCCTAACTTGAGATGTGTGGAAGAGTTAGCAGTGAGTTCACAATCTGTCCCTCTGCCACTATTTCTTTTGAAAATAGAAACTTTTCATTTAAAAAAATAACAGGCCTAATAATCCAGCTCTTCTGAGGAACACTAACAAGGTGTTTATATGCAATGATGGTAGACAGATAATTCTGGAGGGAGGCAGATGTCAGTATCAAGCTTCAAAGGGGAACCATGCTGAGAGAGAGAGAATTAAAATGATGCAAACTGCTTTGAGAATGCAATTTTACATGTGTTTATTTCCTCCGCTTACTCAATGTGAAGATGAAATTCTACTGACTTTGACATGTTGCCATTTGAGCTGATAATGATTTAAGCTTCTAGAAGCTCACCAGCTGTAGAGTTACAGACCAATAAACTCAGTGACTCTAAAAATGGTATGGAATAAGTGATTAAACTTTATTTGGGTTCAAATTATTTCAAAACTAACATGTATAGGGAGAAAGCAACATTGCCTTTCACCTGATTGGGAAAATCACTTTATTAAATAATACATTTTACATCTCTGGCATGTTGTCTTCAAATAAAGTGTCCTTTGCAGTGAACAAACAGTGTGTAGAAGTGAAAATCTATTAAGGATAGCACAGACTTTTTCTACAATGCAAAAATGTAATTTGAATATATATTTAATGGCAATGCAGCTAACTAAAATGAATACTAATTATGAACAAGAACTGTGGACATATATTTTCTAGTATAACTACAGAAACAAAATGGTTGGTTACATTTGCATATTCAAACTCTCTGCATATTAACAAAGGCAACTCTCAGGTTTAAAAGTCAGTTCTAATGTAAATATTAGGCATCTAAAATAGAGGGTATTTTCTCCTGTTAACTGTGAGTAGATCTATGCATTCAAAAACAATAAAATATCGGAAACACTTTAAAGGAATATTCAGAGCTCACACATAACACAACACAATCACATAATTTTTACTAGGGTTGCCAGGTGTCTGATACTCACCCAGACAGTCCGGTAAAAAAAAAAGACAAGAAATACCGGACATGAGAAATGTCCGGTATTTCCTGTTTCCCTAGGATGGAAGCCCGGCAGGGACAATTTTCCCCTGCGGTGTCTGGCGGGGGCAGGGGAGTAAGGAATGCGGCAGAGTTGTAGTGAACGGGGGCAGGAGGGACACTAGCCGGATGCCACGCTGGGGGGGGGGGGGG